CACCTATGCAGAGGGAACTGTTTCAATTACTATCACAACTCTGACTGATATTTATTGGTGTAAGCCAACAGGAAAAATAAAAACATTGTTCTGGATGACCTTATATGATGTTATAAATTATTGGTGGAAAAATGTCCTCAGAAACTGTTAAACAATTACAAAACAGTTTCTGAGGACATTTTTCCACCAATAATTTATAACACAATATAGGGTCATCCAGCCACTGTTATGGTGATATAAAACATGACTATGCTACAACACAACAATGGCTGAACAACACTTTTAAGAAGCTAAACATACCTAGTGAGGAGAAATGGTCTTAGGCTGTTGGTTTGCTAGACAAAAATGTTGACATTCTTACAAGGGGCTTGAGTTAAGTACAACTACTTACATTTTAAGTGGGCTTTTTTTATATAGTTTGCTCACTGTTCTCAGTTCCCTATTTAATATTTGTACAGATAATCAAGATTTAATGACTCCCCAAATTACATTTCATTTTGTGCAATCAAATCTTGCAAATAATTTTGTTTCTCCATTATTGTAAGAAGTACCAAGAATCCAACAGAGAATTATTATCAATTTATTGTTCATGGTATTTAAGTGGCAATTTTCTTCTTCTTCTCCCAGTAGAATATATTGGGAGGGATAGCAAATACATGGCACTTGTTCAATATTTTGTACTATCACCAATATTGCAGAAATGCCTGGTTTTGAGCTATTAGTGGCCTTTACAGATGTGTGCCAGGAAGAATCTGCCACAGTACCTAGCAAATTAAATTGGAGTGGGAGCGAATGGAAGACAGTGAAGCCAATATTGTACAACTGTACAAAACGTTTAGTGTTAATTTAAGATTTTTTTTAAAAGGCACATATATGAGACGGAAAGAGGGACAGGCCCCTCAGGAAGACTACAGACAGGTATCCCAGTACTGTAGAGGCTAAAAAGTGGAGGTAGGTACATAACAGAAAATGTGTTTCTTTTGAACCTGAAACAAAGCATTGCATCCTGGAAGTTCCTGCTGAACTGTTTGGGATCAGCTGTAGTGCAGCAGAAATAAAACCCAGAATGTTTTGGAAGTTGGAGGGCTCCTGGAGTGATTTTATGGGGTGAGTAGAGCAAGGCTAGTGCCCATCCTCCCTTTTCCAATCATTCAGAAACAATACTTAATCCCCTGGTATTGCCATAGCTTCCTCTGCACTGTGAACTTGTTCCTCTCTGCAATGGTTTCAGCAGCTCCCAGCACAGCATACCCGTTGAGCCAGCCTTTTCCCTGTCTTCTTCCCTTTAGCTGCTATTGCCCCTGATGTCTGTGTTTTAGAAGAGGAGAGGGAACTCTGTGCCATGTGTGAGGAGCACATGGGGCGTCCCTGATATTACAAAGAGCCACATGACAGGCTAGCCTCTTTTTATCTTTCACTGCTTCCCCCATCACCATAGCATCATAGACACACCATGTAGTGAAGGAACCCCCCTAAGCCAGTGTTTCTGGCTGGGGAATTCTGGGAGTTGAAGTCCACGAACCCCCTAAGCCAGTGTTTCTGGCTGGGGAATTCTGGGAGTTGAAGTCCACGAACCCCCTAAGCCAGTGTTTCTGGCTGGGGAATTCTGGGAGTTGAAGTCCACGAACCCCCTAAGCCAGTGTTTCTGGCTGGGGAATTCTGGGAGTTGAAGTCCACCTGTCAAAGTTGTCAAGGTTGAGAAACACTGTCCTAAGCTGTGGCTTTTTCCTATGCTTATTCTCCCACCTCCACTGCTCAGAACATCCATGTTTCATGCTGTGTCCAAATCAAAAGAGACCCCTTTCATTCCATGTACAAAGCAAAACAACCAGAACATGTTTCTGTTTATGCACAGACCACTGAAACCAGCTTTTCAGGGCACAGAATAGCTCATGCAAGGAATGTTTTATATTCCTAGCAAAAAGAAAGTTAAAAGTTTAGAATGAGGTTGGTGAAGCATATCATAAAAAGGCTTCTTTATGTTCAAAACATAAGAGAAATGAATCAGTATACCAGATACTCCATGATGATGACAAGCTGTTAAATACTTTAAGTAACAAAGAAAAGGCAGTTACTCAAATCCTATTCTGTATCAGTCCTCTCCAGTACAAGGATGCTGTATTCCACCACGCATTTATGAATAACAAAATGAAGAGGAAGAATGAAGCTTGACATTGACAGAAATGCCGTTAGGCAATACTTGTTTACTTTGAATTGAGTTTAAATCTTCGGGATCAGATGAATTGCATCCTAGGGTAGTGAAGGAACCTGTTGACAGTCTGGTTAAACTGGGATCACCTTTGAGAAATCCCACAAAACTGCTGAAATATCCAGCTGAGAAGAGAAGTCAAATGGCAAACCATTTCTGAATTGTTGCCAAGAAAACTACATAGACGAATCCATGAAGAAATGGGCCCAATTCCAGGGAGATTTTGCTTTTTCTTGAGTGTACATTTACTAATTTCAGTGCAGTAGAAGAACAGCATGTTACTTCACATCAGGTGTACTCTATGTGGGTGTATTTCTGCACAAGAATGAAAAATAGGGAATTTTTTAAAGAACCAACAAAATTGCTGAAAAATAAAACCAAAATGGACAGAAGAGAAACTAACAGTCTGACTGTACAATATCTTTTTCAGTTTGTTGCCTATTAAATAAAAGTTAATTTAATTTTGCAGAGTAGAACTAAAACCCTGCATCCTTCTTGGTAGGTTGTCTGGGCTAGGAACTGGGACAGTGTTTGATAGTACTCTTAATTTAGTCACTCTTCACCATCTCTAAAGTTACAAACATTTATCTCTTCATCCCATAACCCATCTCTTATCTATAAACAAATCCATAAAACATCATCTTTTCAGTCTTGATGTCAGCAGAAAGTCCATGCCAGAAGTAAAACATATCTTGTTTTAACCTTGATCAAATAAACCAACTTTATATTCCTTCCTTTTACTTCTAACAGTCTTAATCTTTAGTTCATTCAAATATTGTGATAGGATTTAATTTCTCTTCATTTCTTCTTTGTTCCATGACACAGAGTTCTTCAAGGCTTTAACAAGCCTCTTTTGTAAAACTAATAAGAAAAAATTATCCAGGTCACTCTCTTGGTTTT